AACTTGTCACCTGTCTCCGTCTCATTCACACACGTATTCTGTCTTGCTTCTACTTTCACTCCTCTTCTTTCCAGTCTATACCTGCACCTTTCAAAGCTCAAAGGGGCTCAAAGACAATCCCTGATGTAATCCCACCCTCACCTCGAACCCATCTGTACCACACAACTCGCCACTGTTGCACTGTCCTATTACATGTCCTGCACCACCCTCACATACTTCTCTGCAACTCTTGGCTTCCTCATGCAATACCACAGTTCCCTTCCTGCCAGCCTATCATATGCTTCCTTCAGATCCACAAAGACACAGCTCAAGTCCTTCTGACATTCCCATACTTCTCCAATCAACACTTTCAAAGCAAAAATCCCATCTGTAGTGCTCTTTTGTGGCATGAAGCCATACTGCTGCTCACTGATCCTTACCTCACTCTTTAAGCTACCTTCAACAACACTTTTTCCCATAGCTATGGTATGGCTTACGAGTTTTATCCCTCTGTAGTTACTGCACACTTGTTCTTAAAAATCAGTACCACTTCTCCATTCTTCAGGCATCTTCTCACGCTCAAATACTGTGTTAAGCCATCTGATAAAAACGTTCACTCTTTTACTTGACTATATCCGGATCAATTGTACTTACGTGCATAGAGTTTTGAGCCAGGAAAATAAAATCTTTATAAATAAAATGAATAAAAATCCCTAGTGGGTCCACTGGGGGTAGGGACACCAATAGGTGTCAAACTTTAGATGGACTGGACTACGTCTTTGTCTAATGTCAAAGTGAAAAATGTGATTGATCTGTGGCTCAAAATTAATTGAATCATACCACCAAAAAAGTTAACTCCCATTTATGCATATAAGAAGTTGGAAATATCTCATTTAAAACTACAGCATGTATGTTTTTATTAGAAAACAAATAAAGCTGTTAAACTGTTTCAAGTGACTTCACAGCATTATTAACATATCCCACACTGTCTCACTCAAACACAGTTATCATTACTAAGTATATAAAGTCCTGCTTTTGCCTTTTTGGGGAGTCATATTTTTCCTATCCAGATACAACCATCTATCCAAGATGACTCCTGCAACATATCAAGTATTGTAATTTACTTTTTAGTGGGAATTGTATCATTAGAGTATTGTGAGTTACTCTGTGATTTCCATTCTCCCTCTGAAACAGCACAAAAGCATCTCTCCAAACACCTACTCGGATGTTTTTTCGGGAAGTCTGATCTTTTAAATGCTGGACTAAACAGAACTACCTTAATTCCTGACAAGAATGTAATGGGAAATAATGGAAAATAAGTTAATACCTTATTTAAAAAGACTGTTTAATAAAATATGTTATTAGGAGCACGCAATTCTGCACAGCACCCAAAATAAACCGTAATGAGAACTAGAGATCATACGTTTATGATTATATCGGTTACCAAAGAACCATCATAAGCTACTGTACTTGTGGAAAATACATAATGCACGACATCTAATATGAGAGCGATTGGAAAGATGGTGATAATTGAATAGCCGCGATGCTAAAGCTAGTTAGCAGGCTAACACTAGTTTACATAGCAACCACCGTTGCTAACCACCTAGCGTTACATCTGAGCGTCGGGACGAGGCTGACAGCGCAAACCTAATCACCCAGATTCCTACCATTGTTCACGGATCGTTTCCTTCCATGCTAGGACGGCTCTCATTTCCGCTCTTTAACTGAAAAAAGCACCAAAGGCTCTTTTGTCAACAGGTTGCTGCAGTTCGCTTGGTTCTGTTTTTTTCACTCTGTACTCTGTGTTTCTTGTAGCGAGTAGCTCGCAATGCGCAGACTCGCACTTGCTCGCTACTTCCTGCTTCTGTGTTGACATCAGAAAGTACTCGGGAAAGCAACGTCGAGACAAGAAGATGCACATCTGAAGCCTGATCAGCATTCATGTATGCTACACACGCCTTTGTTAACGTTTTAGCTCTTTGCTGTTGATCTGCTGCCAGTAATGTCCAGCAATCCTTTTTTTAATGTGGCTTCATGTGAGCAAACTGTGGAATGAGCATGTGTTGTTTTTGTAAATGTCCAAGTAAACATGCACAAACAAAAAAAGAATTACAGGTTAATAGTTTAACAATAAAGCCAAGGTTTCTTTATTCGTTGTCTTCACTTCGACAGGACTCCAAAGAAACTAAAAATGCATCCTACTAGATGAGATACTGAGCTGGAGAGCAGTGTGGACATGAATCATCAAAGTCTCAAAGAAGAGGATATTTTGTGCCCTTCTTCCGCATTGCCCCCTGGCTGGATCAGAGAAGTGAGGCAGCGGAAAGCAGGCAAAACAGCAGGCAAACTAGATGTCTACTTTACAAGGTGACTCAGTTTTGTTTTTGTGTTTTTTACAATCTTGTCTCTGTTGATATTACCTGTAAGTTCACCACAGAAGCCTTTAGATCAGCATCTAATTGATTTTCCTGTTGTTTAAGTCCCGAAGGGCAAAGGTTCCGGTCCAGAGCATCCCTACGCACTTTCCTCCTGGAAAGTGGAAGTGGTAACTTAGACATAAGCCTCTTTGATTTCACCACATCCAAAGATGATGTTGTCACCCCATCACAAGCACACCCTCACAAAGTAAAGCAGAGGAGAGGAAAGAAAAAGCTTTCAGAGGGACAGAAGGAGGAAACAGAAAATGAAACAGCAATTCTAGAGGCACCTCCAAATAAATCCAAACAAGCCTCTTCCTCCCTCAGAAGTGATACTAAAAGTGGAAAAGTGAAGACAGCAAACGACACAAATCATATTGATGCTGACACTGAACTACAGAAGACTGCATGTGTATTAGAAGTGAATGTGAATGGAGACAAAACTACTAAAACTTTAAATGGTTGTTTACAAGCTTTGACCTCAGAAAAAGTGGACAATGTACAACTGCAAAAGAGCCCCCAAAGAGGAGGCCAGCTGAGAGAGAAGTTACTCAGACTGGCTCCTTTAAGTAATCAACTAAACACATCTATTCTTCAAGAGGACACGAAAGCAGATTTGCAGCCTTCGGCCCCGATTTTGAATGTTGAACCTGCCGCTGAGAGCGAGAACAAAGGTGATGAAAGCAAAGGTGACAACACTCCTAATTCTGACCTGGAGGCTGGCGGTGACAGTCGTCAAGATGCTGAAGAACATGCGTTGTTACCTGATATCACTGATGGGAGCTGTACACCAGTTCGAGAATCCCAGAATAGTAAGTATGAGCCACACTGACTGACAATTTGTTAAAGTTTTTCATGTTTTTTTGAGCTTATCCAGTGCATTAGTGGTTATTTATGTCTCCCATTATCCTCTATATTTGCAGCTAGAAATGCATAAAAATCAAAGAAACCAAATGCCTTAATTGACACAAAACGTTACAAATAGAAAAAAATGCATACATTTAGATCTGATAAAGAGGGGGCGAAGAATAATAGTCCATTGTTAGAGAGTGCATCACATCATTAGTCTAAGGGAGGACAGAATTGATTGAGTAATCTTACTGCATTAATGAAGCCATCATAGGACTCCACCACTTTGTGCTCAGCAAATGTATGATTTTCTTTGTTGTGTCATTTTATGAGGTACTTAACTTTGGACCCGACCAAAAGATGTAAAGCAGCTTCACTCTTCTAATATCTATAAATGTTTCCTGTCTGCTTAGAGTCCAAAAGCTTGGAAGGCAAGCGGAAAACAAGTCCTTATTTCAGTGGGAAATCCAGCAGAGATGGTAATGTTTAATGCAGGAAACTGTGGATGCTTTTACATTGGACATGTAGATCAACATTCACGAAATAAATAAAGTGTGTAATTTAAAGAAATGTGCACTGTCCTCATTCAGGACTTAGCCCACCGAGGAGGAAGGCCTTCAAGAAGTGGACACCTCCCCGGTCTCCCTTCAACCTCGTACAGGAAACTCTTTTCCATGATCCCTGGAAGCTGCTGGTAGCCACAGTTTTTCTGAACAAAACCAGTGGTAGGATTCAACACACACATTTAATTATTCAGGATGTTGCATTAAACTTTGCTGAAGCCTGGCATTTATTTAATACAGGTAAAATGGCCATTCCAGTCCTGTGGCAGTTCTTTGAGCGTTATCCATCTGCAGAGGTGACCCGGCAGGCCGACTGGAAGCCCATGTCTGAACTTATGAAGCCACTTGGCCTGTATGAGCTTAGAGCCAAAACACTCATCCGCTTCTCAGGTGGATATTCTTGACTGCTAGTGGATTACAGCAGCAACTACCTTTGTGTATATTATACATATATTAATGTAATTTTATTGTCCATTTTTGGTAGTCTTTGCATGGTTTTAGTAAGAATATATGAAAAAAAAACCCTCACAATCCCTTTTCTCTTGTGTAGATGAGTATCTAACTAAACAGTGGCGTTACCCTATTGAGTTGCACGGTATTGGGAAGTACGGCAACGATTCGTACAGGATCTTCTGTATCAATGAGTGGAGACAGGTGGGTATAATCCCAATTATTTTACTTCAGTTGCTTCCATTGCTCCCTCATTTATTTGCTCTAAATTCAAGTTAATTTGTTGTTTTTTCGATTCTTGTGTCAAAGGTAAAACCTGATGATCATATGCTAAACAAGTACCATGCTTGGCTGTGGGAGAACCATGAGAAACTGGGAATCTGAAGGACCAGAAACAAGAAAATCACTTCTATCACACAAACTGCAGTTACCCGACAATATAACAATATTAGCATTATGGAGGACTTGAAATTTTAATCGTGAATTTCTTCAATATTATGCAGTATTACGCTGGCTAGCCTTTAAGAACTTTTACTATGTGTTCAATAAAATGTTTTAAGCTGGTTAAAAGTTGAAATGATTCATGAGTGGTTTATTCAGCCTTCTCGCCTCAGGCTTTCTACATAGATGAGATCCAGGGACACCCCCTAAATATAGCTATTGGCACAGTCTAATCTTTCTTTATGAGTGCATTGATGCGTACCACTTAATGCAGCAGCTTTCTTTTGATAGGGTGTAACTTGATTCCCAAGGCAACTGTTGCCACCGCAAAACACTCAACACATACATCGGTACGTCAGTATAATCTAACTAGCACCACTATAGCAAGCCGGTATATTTACATTTGGATTTATTTATTTATTTTTTATTTTTTGTGTTTTGTTGCATGTTGATTTAATGCTAAGGCAACTACACCTTTAAGAAGAAAAGTAGAGCTCTGAAAGCTTTGAAAGTTTCATTGGACTCCTCTGGTGTGCCAACAGAAGTGTGAAGTATAAGATGAAACTACGTAAGGAGAGATTTTGTTTTCCATTTGTTGTCCTTTTTTTTTTAAGTATTACTGGTTTTATTTAAACGTATCTCTTTTAATTCTGTTCACTTCTTTATCCTCACAGCAGCCATCTCCATAGCTTCCACGCCTGTCTATATTCCTCGCGCACCTCCTGTCCGGCAAGGTCGCTGCCTGGTGGATACAACCGTAACATTTCCCGTAATTTCAGACTCCGCACAGTTTTGGAAAAGCAATCAGGTAAGCAGAGATTTCTTAATTGTGTGGTTTATCATAGAAATATATTGTTTAAAACAACAACAAGAAAAATCCATAAATATGCTTCTTAGAGTATTCCCAGATTGAACCCTTTACACCCACCATTTGTCCATAAACGGACTGTCAGTCTGGAGACACCAGATGTTCACCAACACAACCACCAGAGGACACTGATCATGCAGAGAAAAGAGCATTACAGGTAGGTGCACTGCATAATTTCACTATCACTGAATCACTTGTGCCATTTCCCTCTTTTCTTTGAAGAGCTGACTTCAAAGACAATGACTGAAAGTTGCTGTGTCAGATATCATCAGGTATGGCGAAAACCCTTCTATGGAACCAGCAGTGAGAGAGAAGAGTACAGGTAAAATAGTGGAGGATACCATTGACCTTTTTATATTGAAAAACAACAGCGTGAGTTGTTTCTGGCAAAGAAAAGCTGCTCTTTTTATCTCCGTAGGAAGGAGTTGCGAGAGCAGCTGAAGAGACAAATAGAGGAGAAATGTGCAGCAATAAAGCTGCAGCTGGCCAATAAAATAAAGGAAGCGGAGACTCTCCAAGAAGCAGACCGCCTCGATCTGGCCAGTGAACGAGAGCAAAGGATCCAGCACAGCAAAGCAATGGCGGTGTACAGAGATGAGAACAAGAGGGTACAGCCCCACACATACATTATATATCCACTATTAATGCTTTTGTGGTTATGGCCCCATCCGGTAGTGCCCTGGAAATGTTTCATCATGCTCTCAGGTTACAAAAATACAGCGAGTGTCTGAGTGTGGGTGGGTTTTTTTTTTTTCCTTCTTGTTTCTTTCTCTGCTTGTGAACAGCTAATGGAGCAGAGCTGGAGGGACAGAGCACTAACACGTTCCCAGGAGGCCCTGAATGAAAGAGAGCTGCTGCGCCTCAACCCCATCAACTGGAGTGGAACACTGAAATAGGTCAAACCTCCCCGGGAGGTCAAAACGTCAGACTTAGGCCTCACTGCAGCATGTGTGTCAGGTGGAAAAATGGGATCCCAAATGTACAGTGCAGAATCACTAAAGGAACTAATTTTAAAACATTTTTGGATTACATACAGTCATGTGAAAAAACGGGTACACAGTCTTTCAAGTCACAGTTTTTGTATCAGGTCATTAAAAAAAAAAATCTGGTCCTTGGCAAATCTTAAAATTAGGTCAATACAACCTACATATCATACAATGTCATAATTTATTTAAACACAAATTCAGACAAAATACAGAAGCAGTGTTTTAAAAAATTTAGTACACCCTTATTACTTCTATAGGAATTCAGAAAGTAAGCAACACTAGGTGAGCTGATCAGTTTCCTCTTACTTTATTGATAACCAGGAAGATTATCAAAAACAATTTGAGGTCCACCAGTATACGGTGATAAAGAGTATTCAAAAGTTGAAAACACTCAATACCGTCACTAAGCTTTCCAGGAATGGATGTTCCAAGAAATTCACCCCAGGGTCCGACTGCATAACATTGAGGAGAAACTGTCAAAAACAAAAAGGCTCTGCCTATCTCAGTTCTCATGTTAAATGTTAAAGTTCACAACAGTATAATTAAAAAAAAAAAAAAAAAGACTGAACAGGTATGACTTGTTTGGGAGGGTGGCCACATGAAAACCAAACATCACTGGTACAAACACTTCATACCACATGTCAAGCACCATGTTGTGCAGCCACAGGCAATTTGCAGTCATCGACTCAAGCGTGAACTCCTCTCTATGTCAAAGTACTCTAAAGTCAAATGTGAAGTCACCTGTTTGACAGCTAAAGTTAAGGTGAGTCATGTGAAAAGACAATGATCCCAAGCGCAGCAGCAAATAAACCGAAAGGCTGAAAAAGAGAAGAATTAAGGTGTTGCAGTGGCCCACAGAAAGTCCAGACATCGAGAGGGCTGTGCATAAATAAATGCCTGCAAACCTCAATAATCTGCAGCAAAGATGTAACGAGTGGCACAAAATTCCTCTGACTGATAGAGTCACACAGAAAAGCAGTTAGTTGAAGTTATTGCTGCTGAAGATGGTTTTACAAAGGATTGAATAAAAAAAAAAAAGAGACTTCAGCATTTTTACTTTGTTTTTTGTCTGAGGTTGTAGTTACATAATTTATGGAGCAGATTATTTTGTATCATTACATCCTGTAAGTAAAACCTTAGAATTGAAAGAGCGTGTACTTTCTTTTTAACATCACTACACAATAACAATGATAACCTTTCTAATAAAAACACATTAACTAATGACAAGAGTTTCTCAATGATGAACTACTCCCGATTTCCCTGTCATTTATAATATGATGCAAACATGAAACTCTGACAAAGAGCAAATAAATAAATAAATAAACAAAAACAACACGAGTGCCAGACTTTTTATTGTAATGCAAACATCGCTAATGAATTTTGACTCTGGACAACATTCCACACTCGGAAAATAATCAAGCATAACTTAAAATAAAAATAAATAGATAATTGGACGGATAAAAAGTGACGCTCTATTGAGTGGCAATCCAACATGATGCTAATGTATCTCCCAGAACTACAATTTAACTCATAAAAATATATGCTGATAACACACATACACACACACGTATAAAGGAAATATTAATAAAATATGACAACATAAATATAACTTCAAAATAAAGGCAACACAAAACGCTTGTATGTAGAATAGAGCTGGGTCCTGTTCCAGGAGGTTTAGAAAACTGAGTTTAAAAATGAACTCCGAGTTGTTTATCTCTGAAATAGGCAACTTTGAAGTTTACCGCAAGTTCATTCAACTCTGATGACAATAACCCCAAGTTAAACGCACACATGAGTAGAAAAAGAAAGTAACCGTCAGTTACACTCTGATAACGCAATATTCCTATTCATGTGGATCTGCACAGCATTTTTATCCGTTGTTTTCAAGTGTTACCTTTTGAGAAAGTGCCGCACATTCTAACTGGTTCTGCAGGACATGCGCTGGCATGTACCCAGTGAAGGGCATGCCATCACTGGGTACATGATCAAATGATTGAAGATACCACAAAGAAAATCAAGCAGCAGTATAACTTGTCTTTTTTTTTGCTAGATTTATTTTTCAGTTTTGCACAGAGTAAAAATATGGTGCAAAGTGAGACAGTATGTGTGTGTCATAGCGGTCAGATATTACATTAAAAAAAAATGGTATCCCAATCTATGGATATATCCAAACTAAAACTGAGAAACTCTTCCCAGACAGCTAAAATAACAGTGAAATAAAAGATGAAAAAAAAAGAGAGAGAAATATAAAGATTATCGCATAAAACTGAAACAAATAAGCTTAATTTGTTCCTTGTTGTATTTACTTAGTTGCAACTATATTTAGCTTGTTTATGCTTAATGATGACTCGGTAAAAAGGCACAATTTACTGTCTCTTACACTAAATCAGAAAATGTTAGACTATTCAGCATTGCTGATGGATCCACTTCTGGTCACTACTGCTATCTGGGTACACCCAGCGAGACTGGCTCGGGCCATTTTCAGTGGAAAATATGTTGAGGTTCAGACACCAAACTTTAGAAACTGTGTCTTTCAAAACGCTGACAAAATTTCATGACCGAACAACAATATGTGGACCAAGTCGCTTTAAAATATGTTTAATTGCATTTTAGTGCCCTTTAAAGTCCTTGCAGCCTCACTTTCACTTGATTACAACACGACAAATGTGATCATTAACCAGCATCATGTGTCTAAAGCTTTATACAGATTAAAATGATTTAAACAATAAACACCCATTGTTTTAGGAACATTCAGTGGAGTTCAGACAGGTTGACAGCTACAGATTTTATTCTGACTTCTGCAGGATAATTTGCTTGGCTCCGACCTTTAGCAGTGGCCTTTTGAATGAGGAAATGAAAAGTAGTTAACTCTATTTCTAGAACTGAAAAAATGTTTCTCGGGGTTAACAAACTCAGCACTGTTGGCTTAACCCGCTTCCTGTAACAGGATCCTGGTACTTAAATAAGTAATGTTGGTGACCCAGCAGCTATTAAAAAGTTATCTTCCATGCCAAGTAGGACAAATAAATACATAGGGTGCTGTATCTTTCATTTCCAATCCTATTTATCATGCATTATTATTACAAAGAATTATTCTGGGACAAAGAGGTAAAAAGTTATTCTGTGAACATAAATAAATGGCTGTTCTTAATGTAAATATCCCAGAGTTTGAGTGCTTCACTGGGGGAATTTGGGAAATTGTGATATCTCCATCCTACCCAATGTCCCACAGCAGTAAGTTCAAGTGCATTAGTAACTTGACACACTCACAACTCATGTGCCATTCAAACTATGGGAAGGAGGGGGAGCTGAAATGGTGAAAACGCAGATGGACTTCATGAATAGAGTAGATGAAAAAACAATCTTTTCAAGAGAGACAAAGACCAGACATCATATCCAAATGCATAAGATTTTCACAATCAGTAGTGGTCTTTATGTCACCCTTGTTCCCAACACAGCTGAGGTAGGGAAGTAAGTTCAGTTCCTTTCCATCAGTGCAGTGATGCTTCGTTACTTCTCTTAAAGATTCATGGCTTCATGTTCTTTAAGTTCTCCCTTCTTCCCGTGTTATGTCACCCATACACATAAATTAACCCACGCCCTTTAAATTAATTCCCCAGTCACAAGTAAATCCCTGATAATCTAGCATTGCAAAGCTAGTTTCTTGCCTCAAACTGATTCCTATTTACCCAAATTGACCCGTCTTTTTAATCAAGGTACGGTCCAATGCAGTCTAGCGTCCCTTCAGAAATCCGTCCAGCATGTAGTCTCCCTTCTCAGTCAGCCAGTATCCAGCCATAGCAGCCACACCTCCAATGAAAATAGCTGTGAAGACCATGTCACCCTTGGCAGCAAGGGTGGCTAGGGCACAGATTACCACTCCAAAGAACATCTGTTGCAATACAAGGACCTCATCATCTGTCATATCGTCAAAGAGTCCCTTCTCTGGGCCAGCTGAAGAGATAAAAGGAAAAGAAACCAAGAGGTCTGAAAAGCTGTACACTGCATATGTGTGTTTGCATATTCCTTATGGCTTTTTCTTACCAGGAGGTTTATTTTCAACACAGATGCTGTCTCTTCTGATAAAGCCATTAGCACAGTCACAGTGGAAGGAGCCTTCCTCATTTATACAGGCCTCATTGAGTCCCGGGCATGCTATGGCACGTTCACTACATTCATCTATATCTGTAAGAGGACGGAAAGGAAACCAGTTTAAACACATCAGGAAAAGAGAAAAGGAAACTGATGTTGAGATTCAGTAGCCAGTTTGTGTATACATACCAAGACACTTCGCTCCCTTCAACCTGTAGCCACGTGCACATTTTTTACAGCGGGCAGGACCACTACCCATGCAGCCCACGCATGCCTGGTCACATCCTACAAACGGCAGAAGTGCAGTGGTCAGCATTACATATTGCTATAATAAAGATTTTTTAACCAGGAATTCCACTGCACATTTATTAAGTCATTTTACTGTAAAAGCAATGAGGCTTTGTTACCATACTTGATAAATATCTTCGCCCTTTTCAGTTTTTTCTTACTACTTAAAACAAACTACAAATATTATTTATTAAAATAACTTGTAGTCAACAAGTGAGGTTAGATCAAATAAATTACAATTACAATATTACAATTGTAACTCTTTGGGAATCCCACAAATTCCTTTGTGGAAGAAAAACTCTGTCCTACACCACCTAAAGAGAAACAACAACTAACCAGTAATTGGACTAAACTGTTTTGCATTTCATATTCAAATTGAGATGCGTTTGCAAGGACAGTCACCAGCCACGATGTCAGGTACTCCCGTTTAACTGCTTATTAACACAAATCTCTACCAATTACATGGCAGGGACTCATTTCAGGGCGACCGTGGCCCAGGGGGTTGGGAAGCGTATCTGT